GTTTTAACCATAATACTTTCATCTTTAAATCTATAGTAATAAGAATTTAGATCAAACATCGCAATAAAATGATAATCACTGTAATTTCTATTATTTGATATTCTTTAATATTAGATCGAAATAGTTTAAATAAGATGTTTCAGTCATGAGCAACATTGCTTATTTTATGAAACTTTGTCTTTTTGTGTTATCAACCAACATTGAATAGTTGTGGTTTTTTTTTGTCATATTGATCGAATATGATTGCAACTCACATTCAAATGATAATCAAACATGACTAGAATCATTAATCTATATTTTAAACAAAATTCTTTCGTTTTCTTCTCGAAACATAAAGAGTTAATACAAAATTGCTAAAGATTTGTAAATGAAAGACTGTTCACGGTGTATAATTGAATAATCTAAATGGTGGAGAAAAAAGACTATATGTGTTTTGTTCTCGCTTCAGTCTCGTTCTGTTTATCTTTTTCTAGATATATATATATAATAGACATCTGTGTTGCTATTGCTATTATTAGTGTTCTACATCTTCTCATACGTGCCTATAGTATTCTACTGCACGCACTAAGACGCATACTTTCTTCTTTTCCTTCATATTCTATCGTTTTGCTTTCACTTATCTACATCAAACATGCTTAACTTCATCTTTTGTAAGTTTGCCTTAATTATTTATAAGCTATGACCGAAGTTGGAATTCTGAATTGAGCTAAATTTTGCCTGGACAAATTCAGAATTCGACCAACAATTTTGGATGAATTCGACCTTGGGCTGAATTCCGATTTCGACCACAATATATATATCCTTATTTCTTTCTTGTTGTCATATCCGATTTCTTTTGTTATTAATGTTTGATCTGAAGTGTATATAATATTTAGGGTTCAAAAGGTTGAAAAATAGAGGAATTATTTTTATTTATTTTTTTCTAGCAACAATGTTCTTCAATACTCTTACACCAAAATTTTATGTTGCATTAACTGGTACATCATCGTTAATATCTGGTCTTATTTTGGTAAAAATAAATTTACTTGGAAAAAAAGAATATTATTTTGTTGTTTTGAAATTTGTTTCATAGATATTTGAATGGTGGTATTTTAAACGATATGGTACATCATTTATTGAACAAGTTTCAATAAATCATTTAACACCTATTTTAAATGGAACTGAATCAAATAATTCATCATTAACAAATAATGATATATCATCTTTATCTTTACCATTATCATCAACAATGAATGGATTAAATAGTGGTCATAATGGAAATAATAATGTGAATAATTGTATTTTATCAAATGGTACAGATTCAACAATACCGGTGACTGGAACAAATGAATGTAAAGTATGGAAAAATCCATGTGCATTATTTCGTGGAGCTGAATATCAACGTTTGATACAATATAATGGAAAAGAACCATTAACATTTCATGATATGAATTTATCTGCTCAAGAACATCAAACATTTTTTACATGTGATCTTGATGAAGGAAAACCTGAATATGAAAGTAAGATATTTATTATTAATCGATTTCAATAAAAAGAAACGAAGATTTATTTTATTTTTCTCTCCTAGTGATGCAACGAGCATGGCGTGAACGAACACCATCGATACGTATTCAACTTGCTCGTGATGCTTTAGAAAAAAATTCAGAGTAAAAAACAAAACAAAAACGAATTTTTTATTCAAAAAAAAAGTCTCATCTATTTATATATATATTAGATTTACACCAGCATTAATTCTTCTAGCTGAAGAAGAAGCAACAACAATAATTGAAGTTGAACGTTTGTTAAAACAAGCATTAAAATGTGCTGAAAATGCATATAGAAAATCACAACAGTTACTTGAACAGGGTCGTATACAAGACATTGTACATAGTAAGAAAGAATTCATTGTAAATTTTCTTATTAATTTATAATTTTTTCTATTTTTATTTTTTATCTTATTATAGAACGCAATACAAATATATTGATTTATGTTAAACGACGTTTAGGAATGTGTGCAAGAAAATTGGGTAAATTACGTGAAGCAACAAAAATTTTTCGTGATCTAGTGAAAGAATTTCCAATGATGTCTGTTTTTAATATACATGAAAATCTTATTGAAGTTTTACTTGCACTTCAAAATTATCCCGATGTACAGGGCGTTCTTGCCAAATATGATGGTAGAACTTCTTTTTTTTCTTCGAAATTTTAATTCAATAAGATAAATTCCATTTTTTCTTTTTTTTTTTTAGATATTAGTTTGCCAAAATCAGCGACAATTTGCTATACAGCTGCTTTACTTAAAGCTAGAGCGGTTGCTTCCACGTATGTTTGTCATTTAATTACGACTAAACTTGCTATGTGAAATACAAAATAGCAAGTTTATAAGTCATATCTGTATGGTTTTTATACAGATTTTCTGTATCTGGATGGATGATTTGATTAACCCATTCGCGGCGATATGAATATTGCTTGCTCATAATTCGTGAAAGGTTTCATTTCTTTATTTGTAGCAAATATTGTACTTCAAAACAACTTTTATCGATGTTTCTCCTATCAATATGAGCTATGAACATTCCTCTATCAAGGGTAAAAAAAATCAGCTCCTTTGGTCAAAGGATAGCACAGATATTCAATTTTTTCTACAATGAACGAGTTTTTGGACCATCCTATAGTGAGGCCCACCGGTGGGCCCCATCGACGCAAAAGGGTTAAAAGTCCGGAAAGGCGAACATCTATTTTTGGAACTTAGTATGTAGTATAATATAACTACTAACTCCAGGTGAGTTAAGCCGATCTTCGAAGAGGCGTCGATCCCCCTCATGCTGGATAAAACAAAACATTGCATGTTTGATAAAAAAAACAACACAATAGTGCTCATATTTAGTACATTTCTCGATTATATTAACAATGTCGAGAAATCGATTCATTACAGAGAAAGCGAATATTTATCTATAGTTTAAGGCATGATTCAATTGATTATCTTCTGATATTTCGATGTCGAGCAAACAAAACTTCGAATATATTCGGCCAACCTCTATAGAATTCTGTTGATTTTTATAGAAAATTTTCTAACTTTTTATCAAAATTCTCTTGAAATCAAATACCATTGAATGTTTTGAGAAGTTGATGAATTTTACAATAATTTTATCTTATATAGTATCAAACAAAATGACATTCGGATTTTTTTTCTTTCGATTGCTGAAAAATGCAAATCGGTAACTGTTGCCGTTGTCAAGTTATTAAGATTACACCATCCCTTCTTTAATTCTGGAGCAAATATTAGTATCTGTAAAAAAAATATTTTGCCCTTGCGATCCTAATGTGTTCTAGAGAAAAGCATCCGAAAATTTTGAGTAAACCTCGTCAAGTGTGGGTCCGGATCTGATAACTTTGGATCCAATGAGCACTATCCTATACATTTCTCAGACGAACCGTCCGAGGAATATGTAGAATGCATTAGTTATTGAATGCAAGAAACCGAAAAAAAGTGTCTCATATTTTCGGAATGTCTATCCTATTCCGATTAGAAAATTTCATTGAAACTATCGAAGTACGATTCGACCGGATCCGAATATGGGAATTTTGAACTCGATGAACTCTAATTCTAAGTCTATGGTAATTTTTGCTCTACTCATCGAAATCTAACTACCTTAAAACTTTCAGAACTTTTTGATGAATCATTCTCCGAAAGTGCCGAAAAGAGGAGTGTTCTCTTGAACTTATTTTCAGTCAAATGGTATATAAAATTTTGTTTTCTTTTATGAAATTTAGATTTTCACCAGACGTAGCCAGTAAACGAGGTTTAACTGCAGCAGAAATGTCAGCCGTTGAAGCTATTCATCGAGCTGTAGAATTCAATCCACATGTACCTAAAGTAAATATTAATTTAAAATAAATATTTTATTTAAATTATCTGGTTTTTGTTTTTCTTATAGTATTTATTAGAAATGAAAAGTTTAATATTACCACCTGAACATATTCTTAAACGCGGTGATTCTGAAGCCATAGCATATGCTTTTTTTCATTTACCACATTGGCGTCGTGTTGAAGGCGCACTTAATTTATTACATTGTACGTGGGAAGGAACATTTCGTATGATTCCATATCCATTAGAAAAAGGACATCTTTTTCATCCATATCCAACGGTAAAAAGAAAAAAACGAAGATATATATATATATATTATTTATCTTTTTTGTTTGTTTGTTTTTCTAGTGTACTGAAGTAGCTGATAGAGAATTATTACCTGGTAAAGAATTAATTAATTTAAAAAGAAAATTTCAATTGTTTTATTTATATTTTAGCATTTCATGATGTATCTGTATTTCCGAAAAAAGAATTACCATTTTTTATTTTATTTACAGCTGGTTTATGTTCAGGAACAGCTATGCTTGCTTTACTTACTCATCAATATCCCGAAATAGCTGCTTATATAGCTCGTCTTTTTCTTACTTGGTTTAGTGTACCGATACAATATTTAACGGATAAAATCGAATCGATTCTACCGTCAAATCTTTATCAACAGTTAGCAAAAATTTAATTATTCTTTTTTTTCATTGTCATTTTTTGTTTTTGCTGATTGTTATATATGTTATATGATGATGATGATGATCTCACCTTACATATGTATACGTGTGTCACTTCGTTTTTTGTTTTTCTTTCTCTACCTGCTTTTCATTCTTTATGTGTGTATGTTGATTCAGTTTTGGTGGATGACGATAGACATTATTGCATCGAAAAATAAGAGAAAGACAGAAATATATATATTATGACATGTGACATTTTTTTTATTTGTATTATTTGCATGATTATGATTCAGTATAGATTGGATTTTGGTAAAGAGGGAGCTCAATAGAATTTCATATATAAGTGGAATTCTTGTCTTTCGTTTTCAGTCTTAGATAATAATATTAAATAAAGACTACTGAAAACATTACTGAAACAAAAGTAGGAAACTGTTTAATCGGTTGTTGAAGTCGATTCAAATTTTGCAAATATAGTTGACATTACATTTGAAACAACCATGGCTGATGCAGATCATTCCTCAGATGGTGGCGAAAATACATTTATGAGTTTTTTTACTTCATTTGGTATTCATATTTTAATGGTTATTATTGTTATTATTCTTAAATGGCAATATGGTAAAATTTTAAATGTTAAAATCAAAAAATATTTTTTTATTTTAAATTTATTTTTCAGATCGCAATCGATATCGTTATCCGAAAGGACCACGTGATTGGCGAAACCTAAAAGATGCTATATCATTTCAAAGAAAAAAACGCGATAATTTACTTAATTTAGTAAATGATTATCCAGATTCATGTACAGTTATGACTCATACTGGTCGTTTAATTTTATTGAATAATTCTGGATTTATTAATGAAATATTTCTTGGACGTGCTGATTTAGTTAGTAATAAAGTTGATAATTATTTAGAAAATCAATTACGATACAAAGAAGGAAAACATATTCGTACAGGTATAATAGAAAGAAAGATAAAAGTGTTATTGTTAGGAAATTATCTCTTATAATCTAGAAGATTTTATTTGAGTTTTCGTTCGAAGAAATAATAGATGATTTTCTTTGTATTCTTTTTTTTTTGAATGTATAACTAATTAGTAGAGAAAATGATTAAGAATTGTTTGTTTTGAATGACATAGAATAGAATGTAAGAAATCGAAATTAAATAAAAAGTTGAAGGGAATATAATTGATGATAATCTAATTGATATTATTGGTTTGTGAATTTTTAACATAGCTATTTCTAATTAAGCTGAGTTTGTTAACAATGTTCTTTTTGAAATCAAATATATTCTTATGAAGAAATGATAAGAATCTTAGAAAATTTTTGTTTTTCTTCAGCGGAGTTCCAGCGTTTCATTGTTTTTGTTTGTTCATCAATTCCCAGAAAAACCGCAAACCACCTTGCAGCAAATACGGTTAATTTTAGCAAAAATCTTCTAATCGAGTACCTAAGTCATTGATCCGTGACTTCAACTATGGCGATCTCGGGACATATATGAGAAGAAGACATTTTATTAGAATACAATGATGTCAAACTATTGAGAAATGTGTTCTACTCGTTATCCTAAAACTCATTTGCTATCGACAAATATTTGTTTTACAATTTCTACAGAGGTTCTGTGACTCATAAATCATGCACTTAAAAAAAGTCTATTAGCTGTAAGTATTTTTACATATGTAAAATTCAAAACAAATTAACATAGTTATCATATATTTCTCGGTTTTAATATATCTTCATTTATATTAATGATGAAATAGAAAAATTTCTATAATTAGTTCAATACTATTACAAAGATTATCTATGTATTTGAACATAGGGATGCACCAATTCTTAGAGCATGATATCAAAGATGGCATATTTTTTCTTATAAAGAATACAGTTCCTGTGAATTTTTTATATCAAACATGAAGATGCAGATGTGAGTTACAGCAAGACCTTCATGTTCTAGGAATTGGTGCATTCCTATTTAAATATATACTTAACTTCTCTCCGCAATAGAAAATCCTCCTATATTAGAAGATCTCCGATGATAGAGGAGTTCTCTTGAAGGAACGATGTGCCTGGAGTAATAATGTACCTCGTCCTGTTCCTTAATTATTTAGCTTCTCAAAAAATTAGCAGTTTAATTAGTATATTTACATAAAAATATGCCGAGTTTTCAAGGATTTAAGCTGCAAACCTTAAAAGACTGAGATCAGCATTATTTCTAAACTTTTCAAGATCTAAAAAATATCTTCTCGAGTCCTCAAAATTGTTTTAATTTTCTGAAAAATCCTTTTAATTAAAACTTATTGAAATAAATGGGACACAATAGAAGATCCGCAATCTTTTATTGCGGAGAAGGTTTCAATTTTCAACGATATTTGCCAATATGAAAATCTTATTCGAGTTTAGTTGAATGATATTCATAAACCAATTGCCAAAATTTATTATTATATCTATTAGGTATTGTATTTCGTCATCAAGATCATAACGCACGAATAATTCATAAAGCACTTGTAAATTATATTGATAATAATCTTGTTAATAAACATCTTGATGTAATGGTACAAGAACAATTACAAAATTTACATCTTTCAAAACAGTTTGATGTTCGTCGTACAACATTTTATTTTGCTGTTCGCCTTCTTACATCACTTTCATGTTCATCAGTTTCAATATCAAAGAATGACAAAGTCTTTGAATTATTTGAACAAAATTTATATAAAATTTCCAAAGCTATTCATGAAGATACATTTCAAAAATCTGCTAAAACTGTTCTTTCAAAATTAACTGGCTTATCTGAAACATTAGATATTAATGAAAATGTTTTAGATTATATAAAAACATGGATTAAACGTCGACGTGAAGAATCAAATATTCATAGTAATAATGAACAAAGAGTAACATCAACAACTGAAACATCTAATGATTTTCTTGATTCAATATTAAATTGTATTGATGAATCATCACCACGTTTAGATGATGATGATATATCTGCTTGTATACTTGATATAATTATGCATGGAAGTGAAATGCTTAAAGGTGCATTATCATGGTTTTTACTTTATGTTGTTCAATATCCTGAAGAAGCTGATTTATGTCGACGAGAAGTTCGAGAAAAAAATTATTCAAAATTTGAATTATCATCAACTGAATCTCTTATTTATACACAAGCATTTATTAAAGAAGTTTTACGTTTATCACCTGTTGTACCTGTTGTTGTTCATTCAACATTAGAAGATTTTAAATGGCGTACTTATCATATACAAAAACGTACTCAATTTGGTGCTAATATTCTTGCTTTACATCATTCAATTGCATGGAAACAAGCTACAAAATTTGATATAAAACGATGGATTGGAGATAATTTATCATCAATACCAACTCATTCTTACTTACCATTTGGTTTAGGTCCACGTGCATGTGTTGCTGAAAAATATTTATTTAATTTATTAACAGGTATTCTTGGTGTACTTTTATATCATAATGATTTTGAAAAAATTGGTCCTATACCTGATCCAATTGGAGGTACATTTGGCTTAGCTAATATCCCACCAAAGTATTCACTTAAAGCTACATCTTTTAGTGCAAATTGATACATTTATTTATTTTGGTTTTTTATGGTATAAGTTTTGAGAGAGACTAAATAGTTAAACTAGCATTTCTTTTACTTTATTTTATTTTATTTTATTTTATTTTATTTTATTTTACTTTAGCTTTTTTTTTTCTTTTTCGCACACTTTATCTTAAAAATGCATACATAAACATCTTTTTTTTCTCCTAAAATAAATCTTACATATGCTATAAATAATAAGAATACTTTGTTTTATTTTCATATGATGATAATTTATTTTATAAGAAAATGATTTGAAAGATAGATCATTTTTAAATTAACGAAGAATATGTTAGAGAATTGATTCTCTCTCTTTCAAATTATAATTTAGAACAAATATAATAACTTTCATTTCCAAATAGTTGAAAGACTCATTTATTGTGGTAATAATTCGTATGTGTAAGCACAATCAGAATCTTTCAAATCCTATGATAAATCACCAATGAATTATTAAATACATTCTTATTAAGAATATCGCGTTCTTTCCCGGGGCTTCTGTAGAATGGTACATCAGAAAAATTTGAAATTTTCAAAACAGATAGATCTTAACAAGTAGAGCAAAAGTTGTCGAAGACTGAAAGTTTTCGGATGCTGTCTTCTATGAGATACTGAGATCACAATGTTTCTCTTGTCCTGCTTCTCCGAGATGCTGTGTTTCATCGAGCTGAAAGTTTCATACAGGTGTTAGACACTGCTTGTGATAAGTATCTTTTTATTTTTTGTCTCTCGAATACAAAAGCCAAAGTATCGGTGGCACCCTAAAAAACGCATGGTTTTTTTAATAGAACTTTTTCGTAAGAGCTACCGAAAATCAGCAAAACAATATAAAAGAAAGTGTCCATCCAAAACAATCTATGATATATGTGGAAAAAAGTTTCAGTTCGATCGAAAATACTAGATTGAAGAAACAAAGGCGATTTTGCACTTTTTTCCCATGAAAAGTTGGTTTGAGGAAAACGTACACTAATATACAATTTTCGCTATGTACTCAATAGACAAATGCTACTCCAAACTATACAACAGCCACAAAAATCCAAAAATGAAAAAGAAAAGATTCTAGACCACGAAAGAAGAGAATATTCTAAACTAAAACAATGCGATAATAATGATGATTAATAATAAAAAGATATGTTGTTTTAACTTGTAATACTGTAATAGAAAAATAAGAATTTTTCTTTATTCGATTATCAACTAGATTGAGAAAGAACGAAAGTAACTACTAACTGAAAAGAGAGATATAATGGAAGAAAATAATATTTCTTAGATTTAATCGTTTACTTTACACCTCTATGTAGAATTATACTAGTGAATAACGAAACAAAATCTTCTCAAAAACTGTACTTCAAGGACAGATTGTGAATTTGATCGTCCATTTATAAACGATTTTTATATATTTATGCTCACTGTATTTAGAAAATTCTATAATTTTAATTTCTTTTGTTATACGAAGTTATCGTGATTTCTTAAAAACATTGAAAAATATTCGTTGACTTTTGTCTCTCACGAGAGAGCCATACCAATTGATATATGTTGTTTGAGCTCATATTGAGCCCATCAAAACATCTTGGCGAGACTAACAAAAGCCTAAACGGGTTCATCCTCATGGATCTTTGGAATCGAGTTATAATCATTTTTACTAAATTATTGAGCAGGTTTTAGATTTATACTGAAAAATGAAAGAAAAACAAAAGTTCGCTATAAAATTTCTTCATAAATAGGTTAAATGATCCATAGAATATTCTGAAAATTTCAATTGAAAAGAATTTTTTTGTTGTCAAGATATTAAATTTGCAAGCAAACTAAATTTTTGTGATATGTCTATGCTAAACTAAAATTGTTCGCCGAAATTTTGTTTTCATTTTTCGATATATATCTAAAATTGAGTTGAAAATTCGGTAAAACGATCATAACTTGGCTCCAGAGATTCATGAGGACAAGCTCTTTTAAACTTTCTCTAGTCTCATCAAAAGGTTCTTGTGGATCGAATAGGAGCTCAAATGATAGATATCCGTTTGAATGATTCCTTCGTCCGACCCATTTACAGATCATCGTTTTATATTCAAAATGTTCAAGTAACTCATTTCTAGATATGTTATTAACTCTTTTACGATCACTAAATAATCCGAAACCATTCATTCGATACTCTTCATCATCCTATATTCAGGGTCAAGCACCACCCGATCGTCCAGATGTACGAGAATATTTTTATTATATTGATTCATTTGGACAGGTACGATATATATATAAATCTTTTATTTTAATTTTATATAAAATTTTTTCTCTATAGCTATTCTTAGATGATACTCGATTTAAAAATTTTACATCATGTTATAAAGGTTAGTTTTATAATTTAATTTGAATGATTAAACAGATGTTGTGTTGTTGTTTTTTTCTTGCTTTAAATTTAGATCCAAAATTTCTACACTTTTTTTTCACTCGTATTCGAGCTAATACTTATAATGATCGTCCTTATTTTTCTACATTTCCATATGTATCTTTATGTGGTCGTGAACGTAATTTTATTCGTTGTGCTGATACACCATTTGTTTTAACTCGATTTTTGGATGATAAAGATTTATTTGAATGTTGTCATATACCATCAACAATACTTTCGATACAATTTCAACCTGAAAGACTTTATATTAAACCAGACACTGGACGTATTTATCATCCATTATCGGAAAAATTTCATACGGGTCATGCACTTATTAAAGATGCTATTGCTGAACGATTGAGTTCTCATTTTGTATACGATAGTAAAACAGATGGTTTACCTATTAGTATTGAATGGAAAGGAAAATTGTATAAATTAAAAAAAGATAATGAAATAGAAAAACTTGTTTATGAACATAGTCGTTTTGAAATATAGAAAATTAATTATATCTTTTTTATTTAAATAATTGATATCAATTCATATTATACATCTATATTCAATTTTGATGAATAATCAAATACAATCGATAGTTATGTTCTATTTTTTGTTTTCAAAATTATTCTATCTTGAGATGTCTATGAATGACTAATAAGAAATTTAGTCATTATGATATAGAACGTTATTTAGCAGAAACATATGATACATAATAGAACTATACAATGTAAAAGATGATATTATATGAGAACCTTTCATATTTAGTTTTTAATTTGTAAAATGAAAATTCATGTAAGAAAAATTGAATCTTTCAACAATATTCGTTTGGATACTGTGATTATCTATGATCGATCATACAATTAAACATGTTATTTTTCAGTTTATACAATAAATGTTTTATCAATTTGTTATTTTATTATTTTGAATAGTAGAACAATTATTGCTCACTGGTTTTATATACATTATGACTCAATTCAATTGCATTGAGATTAATTTTGAATACTTACAGTGCCTAACACAATTATTCAACAAGGTTTATATTCAGTGTTTCTTGTGCTGTCTTAAATACTAAAAAGGATCCATATAGTGATTCAAGTAGAGAAAGATATGTACAACAAGAATATAAGAAAATCACAATAAAAACCAGATTTCTGAGAATGAAGTTTCCAGAAAATCAAACCCCAGTTTTTTAGTACCTAGAAAGCACAAAACATAGTTTGGTTCAGACTACACGAAACAATACAGCAAACAATTTTCTATAAAATGACACGACTCCGAGTTCTGTGTGACTCTTGTTATCTGAGATACAACAATCTCAAAGAAATCTTTGAAGCTGGATTTCTACTATTTTTTATGTAAAAGTGAATTTGAGACTTTCAATTTGGCTGTGTTATCTCAGTGAAAGGGATGGTACAAACTCAGAGACAATTTATTTTGTCGAGAATCGTTTACTCTATCGTTTCATGTAGTCAAAATGGGACCATATTTGCGTGGTCAACGTACTGAAAAACTGAGGACTTGACTTTCTGAAAACTCTGTTTTCACGAATCTGGTTCCCATTCTCTTTAGCATTTAAGACAGTACAAAAAAAAATCGAAAATAAATCTTGCTGAATAATTTTGGTAGTTACTATATATCAGAGGATTTTTTTCCAGTAATACTCAGGCAACAATTATACAAAATGATAAATCTCCATATATTTGGAGTTTAAATTGTATTGCAATGAATGTGTATTCGACGAAATCTAAATATTGAGAAGTAGTTTCGTTCGTTACTTTCTTCGTTGTGAAAGGACTAACTGTTAATAAAATATTCTGTCACTCATACTTTCACACAATTTATCCTATCATGATAGAAGTGAAAAGTTGTACCTGGTAACACTATCATTTACATCTGTCTACTTTGAATCTTCGTATTTTTATAATAAAATAAAGACGAAATGATTGATTAGTATTAAACACTTATATTATCAATGCCAAAACACTTATATCAATGATAAGCATGAAGAATGTCTCTTAATTTGATAAATTCAATCAAATCTTTATGTATAAATCAAATGAGCTCAAAAACCACAATAATCATCACTGATCCAATTTGAAAAGAAAATAAAATCAAAAATTTTTGATTTTTTCGTCGAATAGACAAGTCAACAATAAATGAAACATTTTATCTCATAGACAATGTCTTCAGATTCACGATTATCAAATATATTCTACATTCTATTTATGAGTCTTACGCCAATATAATGGTTGTGGAATTAATAATTACAATTGTCTCTTCATTTCATTATGTAACAAACACACAGTTTGTCTCGTCCATTTTATAAACGTAAATCTATAACATTCAGAAAAATAAATCGATCATTCAAACATACTAATTAACTTAGAATCATCGTCTCATAAATTAAACAAAATTCTTTGAAATAATCTGCTTTGTTTTTGATCTGATAAACATATATATAAATAAGAGTTTTAATTCACATTTATCGATCAAAAAAAAAAAGTGGAAACTACTATTCATTTCAAAATATAATGTGTTCCACTGTTTTTGGAATAATCTTTGATAGGAACATTATAGAGATCTTCGATTTGCACCATTCAAGAGAGAAGACCGAGAACCATCGAACTTTGATTCGTCAACAATGGACTGATTGGACAAGTTCTTGGTAAAGGTTTTCCAAAACAATATTCTGAAGTTATTGTCTTTTGCACTTAGACTATTAATAGAATTAGTCGATGGAAAAAATTCTTCTCTTTCGATCTACGCAAGACCGACATTGCTAGATAATTCCTTTCGAAAGTTATTAGACTTTTCCTGAGACTCTCGATTTCACCCAATTGATCCACACCCAGAAAAGAAGCTAGGCAGGAGCAATTCAACATAACAAATATCACTATTCGGGTCAGCATGGTGAATTACCATTGTCTAACTGCTTTTTTGGCTAATCACAGGTGAATTCGTTGAAATCGGAGTTCTCAAGAAAAGTCTTATAACTTTCTAACAGAATACGTTAGACACGTTTGCCTTGTGTAGATTGAAAGATAAGAATTTTTTCTATCGATTAGTCCTATTGAAAGTCTAAATTGAAAAGAAAATAGTTTCAGAATATCATTTTTGACAATTACTACCAAGAACTTACCTAATTAATCAATTACCGATCATTCGATTTTCAAGATACTTCGATGGTTTCAAATCTTCTCTTTTGAATGATGAAAATCGTAGTTCTCTATGCTGTTACTATCAAAATTTATTCAAAAAACAGTGGAACACATTATATTCAGAAGCAGATAGTAGTTATCCCTAACTTTTTGTTGAATTTAATAAAGCAAATTCTTGTTCTGTAGCAGTTATAACAAATATTGAATATTGTCAAATTTGATTACTTAAAATTATATTGATCTTGATTTGTTTTTTCTTGTTAAACGATTATGTTGTACAAGAATATCTGAATCTGTTTGACGATATTGAACAGGCATTGATACTCTTTTTTGATTACCAAGATAATTTAAACGTTTATCTTCTAATTTATTAATATAATTATGAAAGTAATTTGGTTGTTCCCATGATGAATAATGACGCATTAAACAACGATCTAAACTACGAAGTATTTCACGTTGAACTTCAGAATTAAGTATTGTATAGATTGATGCAACAATTAAACCCTATAAAGAAGCAAAATAAAATAAATTTTGACGAAAGAAAAATATATTTATTCTCAAATTTACTTGTAATGATGATGATATTGTATGTACAGTAAGATGAATAAGAATTAAATTTGGTATTAAGAATGGTTTTATATTCCACATAAATAAAATATAATGAAAACCAAATAAAGGTAATAAGATTAATGTTGAACGTGCTAAACGACTAAATCACTCTTTTTTTAAATAAATTATTGAAATTTCAATTTAACAATTTTTTACCTATATTTAGCTAAACGTCTTTTTTCAGGAGAAGTTACTGTCCGATAAGTTCTATTTAATTTTCGAACAAGTAATATACATACATAATTAAAAATAAGAAAATTTAACTAAATTCAACGATAGTAAAAGAAAAAGGAAAATGAAAATCTTTTATATCAAGAAGAAAGCTATTTTTATATTTTTACAATTTGAAGAATCATATTTGGTCCATGAAGAATCCAATCATAAATTGATGGTTCAAACCAACATGTATACAAATCTTTTTTTAACATATAACGTGTTGTATATGTTATTATTGTTAAAAAAAGTGGTACCACTATAAAGAATTCTTAATTTTGTTCTTTGACATGTATTATTTCAAATATTTATATATACTTACACCAACCCATTAAAATATACCATCGAATTTTATCTTTATATACTTTAGCTCGTAATAAACGATACAAATATAAAGCTTCACAAAAAACAAACCAATGTGAAACACTGCTATTGATATAATTCATTAGAATAGTAAATAATTTACAATCAAGTAACTAAATAGATATAAAAGAAAACTTTCTGAAAAATAGTTCGTTCTGTTTTTTATTTTATATCCTATAAAAAAGAAATATTTTCTTTACTTGATCTTCTTTAAAATAGATTGTTGTTTGATTACATGCATCAATACGTTCAAATACATTATGAGAGAAATAACCTTTATTCATGAAAATTTCAGCAATAAGTTTAATAATTGATCGAATAAGAAAAACAAGGAAAATATTAACATGAAGAATATTTCTAGAATATTGTCGAAGACGACTAAATTTTACAAAAAAAAAAAAAACAAAAATTTATTTCATCAATTTCAAATATTAATTTACTAACCGATTACCAAGTAAAATAAAAATACCAATAGTAAGAAGAATAATTGAAAGACCATTTGCACAAATAATAAAATATTTTCGAATTATTAGAAAATTCAAAGGTATTAAAAATATATCTGTTGTATTCTAAAACAATGAAAGTTATTTTAAATATTTCTCTAATAAAATATACCAAATCCAATGAATCAACAGATGAACAACCAATGCATAATTCATAATGACTTCGTTCTTCCCATCGAGATTCATTTGTACATAAAAGTGAAGCATAAGCTATTAATGAAAAACAAATAAACTTGGATTTATCATATCAACCCATAGAATCGTTATACTATTTGAACTAGCATCAGGAAAGATATATGCAGGACATGGTATAATACGACGAACGCCAGCTTCTGTCGGTGGCCAACAAGATATTCGATCAAAATATGCAGGACAATATGAATCTGAATAGAGATTATTTGCTTATTCACTTTCCATTATCATCTATTTTGCACTTACGATTTACTGTCCCCAAGGACATATTATACAATGACGTACAAGCATGAGCCATTAGCTATACAGATAGTGACAAGGCTAAAAATATTCTATAGCGATTTTGCTTTCTATTTGTATATAGAATGTAAATGATAATAATCAGAACACGATATGTTATATTTATAACTTTTTTTTTCGTTGTACTGTCTATTTTTGATGTTGTTGTCTAATACGAAAGATTAAATCTCTTTCGTTCTTCTTGTTTATTTTTAGTAATGAAATACAATGTTCATTATAGTAATAAAACTTACTAGAATCAGAAGAATAATATTGAAAATAATAATCGATGCTTGTGATCGTTTCCATCGATAACAAAATGTTTTTCTTTGTCCATTAATATTAATAGCTAGAAATAATATTCGATTTTTTCCTTAATTTCTATCGTTGCTCAACTAGACACCTAATGTCATTGAAGTAAAAATATAACTGATATATAATAACGTATATCTATTCGTTTATATTTAATCGTTAATAATACCTAACAAAAATTTGTTGAAATGCATCATCGAACATTAACAATAAAGAAATGAAAGATAGGCAATGGCAAGCCTCTTCTATTCATCAAATACATATGTATTTATTGTTGATTTTTCTTGTTTCTTCTTTTAGATATAATGACCGCAAATGATCGATGAGATAAATTGTTGAATTAGAGGTGAATATGAACATTTGCTAAGATACAATTCAAGGTCAAAAATATATTAATGTCAATCAATGCTAATGAATAAAATGAAATACTATCTATTATACAATCAAATATAACACTTATTTTAATCAAATTAGAAGTTCATAAGAGTCTATTGATTTTTGATGAAAATGGACATATTAATCATATAATGAGATTAGTATTATTATTTTTTTTGAATAGAAAAAAAAAAAGGCAGAAATGGAAATAAACACACACACGCATACGATTTTACCCGTTGGTAACAACTACATAGAACACAGATAGAGAAATAAAAAAAAAAATGAAACACACACAACAGCAATGAGAATATGACAATTGGAAAGAAAATCGATAATTATACATATGAGAGTATTGTTTTATATATATATTGTTGTTGTTATTATTTTTTATGGAGACCACTGTTCATGTCATATGGATATATTCAATAAGCATTTGTAAAAAGCACCGGAAAAAAAAAGAGAAACGAAGAGAACAACATAGATAAGATATTATTATAATTATAGTATATGAATAAATTGACTAGGTAAAAAGATAAGTAAAAAGATAATGAGAATATTATTTTTTTCTTAAATTTTGTGAACCACCAAATTGTCGAATTGATTCCATTAATGCGTCATGTGATGCAGCTAAATTTGTACTTAGTCGTTTATTATTATCCAATGATGTTCGTCGTTTATTATTTATATCAGTTGATGATGTTATTCTATTACGTATTGGAGTTATTGTTTCATCATTATTACCTATTCCACGTATTGTACGATATTCTGCTATAGTTTTACCAAATGGTTTTGGTGCAAGTATTGGTGGTGCTGGTGGTGATGATGATTCTTGTGATACAGGTGAAGTTTGTGTTATCAATTGTTTACGATCACTTTCTACCGTAACCTAAAATATATATATATATATACATTTGATAAATGTTTCAATAGATTCCCTATTTGCGTGAAATCAATAATTGGAACACTCTCTTACTTCTACTACACTTGCCTAAAATAAATTTCCTTCTACTTGGAGCGGTTTAGCTAGAGATTGCAGGATCAATCACTTTTTGATTCTGGTCCCCATCATTGTAGCCTTCGGGATCTTGGCCTAGAGAATATTATTCCAGAACTTATTCGTATCAGATCTAAAAGAATTCTTCAATACTCGTTTCTTTTTATTTATTTAGTCAACGGCTAGCACCTTTTTGGATGGCCTCTATTGTATTATGTTTTGATTTATATGATATATAAGATTATTCTCTTAAAACCATACAATATTTAACTATGATCTTTAATTCGGTTTAGACAACTTTTTTCTCATACTCCTAGTCCTAGTCTAAGCAAAGTTCCAAAACTTCGTCCCGTACATCTCTAGATTTGATTCTTTCTATGCGTTTGCACTGAACGTGATTTCTCTATAAGATAGATGTTTGAGATACTGGGATAGATATTTCAAGAGTCTGTCAAAATCAACAGATGGAAATTTATTAACGGAATAGAAAAGGAGTGTTCGATTAGATCTTTGAACAGACCTCAGCGCTTCGCGGAAAACATTTCTATTTTAGAACAATGTAGCTCTTGGTCTGCTGATAACGCTACAGCAGATTCAGTTCCTATGTTTGATAAGGGAGACATTTTCAGTCTGTCTCTCTTTTATGAAACCTTCTAATTATGTAAAATGTCCGTTGTGATAATACTGTTTGGTTCATGTGTGATGTAGTCTGCTAGATACGTCTAGAGTAAGATTTTTTCGTATCCTTTACGCTGACTGAGAAATAGTTTATAACCATTACCTTACTTTACCTTACTATGCAAAATACTTACCTTTAGTCTGTCGGACTCTGCATAACAGGGTAACTTGGCATATTTCTATAGCGTAGCATTGAAAAAACAAAAAATACTATAGTTGTGTGTTAAACTTCTGTGTAATCTCAATCTATTTATTCAAATCTCCGAATTATACCCGTCCAAACTTTGTACTGAGAAGATCGATGGGTCATCAAATTCATGCAAAAAAACTATTTCAATAGATAGAACGTACTGTAATATGAGTCGTTCGTTCGGTAACTTGAAGCTGGAAAGAAGAAGAAAAAAAGTTTTTATAAAATAATTATTCGGTTTACAAAGTCAAACCTGAATTGGCATAGATGGTTTATCTTGTTGATTTGTTGCTTTTAAATAATCAGCATTATTAATAGATTGTGATTGTGTTTCTTTTTCGTATTTTTTTAATAAATTATATGCTTGTTTACCTTTTGTTTGATGTTGTACAATATTTGATGGTAATGTTTTGAATTGTTTTGAATTTGTTAATAATTCTGATGAATCTGAATTTTTATTTATTTGTTGTTCTGATTTTTGTTGATTAGTTGAATCAAATATAGCTATAGAATTATTGACAAAACCTCGATTATCGGTTTCAAATTTTCCATAACGACTTTTAGCAACACGAAAATAAGAAACATTTTCATTTGTTTCTTTTTGTTGATTATCGTTTTTTTGATAAATATTTGATCGTTCATTATGATCATTAACAATACGTAGAAGACCATTAATAGTTGAAGATTTTTTTTCTTTATGAATATTTTGACGAGGTGGTTTTGGTATTGAAGATCCAATGATATTTGTTTCAATCATAGATGGAATACTTGTTAAAATTTCTTTCTAGAAATAAAAGAATTTTATTTTATTTTAATAAACGAAAAATTTTCTTTTCTACTTGTTCAGATTTTTCTTCTTGTTGTTGAATAATTTTTGGTATTGAATTTGGTAATTCAATTTGTATTTGTTCTAGAGAATGAATTGATGATGGTGAATGAATTTCAATAGTTATTGGTTCTAGAGAATTAGTTCTGATAATTAATTCATCATTTGTTGATGTTTGATTTTGTAATGAATTTAATACAGATTGATTCTCATTCATTTGATTCATTGTTACATCATTTTTTTCTGGTTCATCAATTGATTTTTGATTCATTTCTATAGTTGGACGAAAATCTTCATGTAAATTATTCGTTGATGCCGAAATAGTGTTTGCCATTGAAGGAGGTGGAGGAGGATCTGAACCTAAGAAAATACAACAAAAAAGTTGTTGAAGATCCCTCAAAATAAGTGATAGTTAAGATAGATATATGAGAAGATTCATCCGAGATTAAAATTGTTTGAAAAAAACTTCCGTCACTTTCTGTTGGAAAAACATGCTTTTTTTATCGTGCAATCCAATATTTTCTGTGAACCTTCATTCTATATATGTAACTTTTTTTGCTGTAAAAAGTATGCCAATATGCACAGCATAGCAGAGCCCCTTTTTTGAATTAAGCTTTGCTACTATTATATAAAAGACTACTTTTATAATTAGAGTGGCATTTTTTTTTGAGAGTTTCTCAAGACATTAAACTTTTCTCCGCTTAACCCAAACATGACCAACTTAAGGACTACTACTTTTTGTCCATCTGAGATTTGTCTAGATTCCAATAAATAAAATAATTATTATAGACGAAGTTGTTACTAGTTTATTATGGACATATGACGACTTTAGAGAGAAGACTTGATTAAAAAAAAAAAAACAGAAAAGCAGATAATTCGAACTATATTTATGTAGTCTTTTTGCATGGTCTTATCATGCTCTCTTTTCGTATGATTAGCTGACGTTATCGATGTACTGTACTAAATGTCCTCAACACATACCTAAAAGGACATGATTCAATTAAATATTACAAATACATAATACAACAATGAATCTCACTAGGGAGTCCGTACGAACCCCAGGTAGTCAACAAGCGTTCATATGTACTTCGGGACTGTCTACTCATATAAATAATAGTTGAGCGTAACTAGTAGATATTATCAACATACTTTATTAGTCTTCACTAAAGTAGATCTGAAAGATAAACAGTCTCATCTAATATGGTGTACTTATAACAGTATGATGAAACTAGCTGGGCTTCACGCAAGCCCTAGGTGGTTGTTTCAAGATTATAAAATAAGAATTAAAAAAAAAGACCTTTGTCATGCCCTGCATTCTGACATGTTCTTTCAAACAAAAAAAAAGAATTAAGTTTATAGACTGAAGGCTTACAGAGAATTTTCGGTTGTCAAATGAACTATTTTTGAGCTTTGTTTGTTGAATATCTCGCAAAAATATCATGATATAGGGCTGAGCATTTTACCATAGCCTCTGCAACATATCTTGAAAATGTCATGTCATTTGAATAGACCTAACCTAGGATGGATTGTTGAAGCGGGTGATCTTACGGAAAGAAAATAAAATTTCCTAATCTACCTGGTCGAGCAATACTATTTGTTAGATTTTGTTTTTGTTCTATTTGATCAATTTCATCTTTTTCTTGAACTGAATTTATTGGAGCAACAATCGGTGCTTTTCGTTTTTTCTTTGTATTTTCTGATTGAAGTGATTCATGACTTTGATGATGATCAATATGTAATGGTAATGAATGTAAATTAATATTATTTGATGTTTGTTCTTGTTCTTGAATATAAACAATTTGTGAATCAGGCCTTTTAGAATTTATAGAACCAGGTGGTCGTGGTGCACGACGTTTCTTTGCTATTGATGAACTAGTTGATAATTGTGATTGTGTATCAAAATTAGGATCATTCCAATAAGCATGTAATGTTGTATGTGATGGACGTAATGTTGATGAACGATTTGTATTTGATCGATTAATTTGTTTTGTATTTATTAATTTTTGTTCATTTTGTTGTTGTATATGTAGAAAATTTTCTTTTGGTGGTTGACTTTCTGAACGTATACGATAAAGACGATCAAATGTTTGAATTTGATTTGTATTGTATTCTTGTTCAAATTCCAATTGTTTATTATATATTAATGTAAGTTCATTTGTTTTATATTCGGCTAATGATAAACCAAGTAATAATGGTTGATCAAGTTTATTTGGTAAACGTAATGTATATTGATTTGAATTTATATATTTTTTTTGTTTACATATTTGTTCTTTTATATCATATAATGGTAATGTTGGATCAATACGTAATAAAATTTTTTGTGCATCTGGTAAATTAACTTGTAGACGAACTGTAATCTAAATTTGATTTTTTTGGTAGAGAAAATTTAATAGAAAAATATTTATTAACATACTTCAAATGGTTGAGTTTTAGGTTTTGATGATGAATTTGAATGTGTTGATTCTTTTGGTTGGAGACTAATAGTTGATGAACCTTAAGAAGAAAAAGTTTTCATTATTATTTTATTCAATAATCAAATAAATAAAATTAATGTATGAAGCAACAAACATAAGACAAAGAAAAAGAACAGCAATGTATAAATTACCGTTTATTTGTGGTAAATGACAATTTTTAACTGAAAAAATATGAAAGATCTGCGTTTTTTTTTGTTGTTTTTAAATATTTTTATTTGAATTAATTTTATTTGGAAAATATTTTCAAATACATACCAATTTGTCCAACTGTTTGATTAGCTTTGAAATGTATAACATGTTGATTCGAATCAAGTACAACAAGTGAATAACTACTTGGATTAAGTTTATTTAATGATGCTGCTTGTACAAGTAAATCCATCATTGGAGTACTAATAGAAACAAATGATATATAGATAAAAATATATTAATAGAAAAATATAATTAATTACTTTGCATCAACATTAATTATGGATGGAACACCATTTGGTAAGATAAGTGTTAATTGTATCTTGTTAGTTTCTTCTGGTATATGTTGTTCGTGATAAAATGTTTGATGACCATGACCATGGTGATGATGAACGGAACTTTGTTCTACTATTGGCATCATCAGATATTGAAGAGATTCAAATAAATTTTAGTAGAATTAAAGAAAAAAAAGATGAAATCTACAAGAATATGAATTGGTTATTAGTAAAATTTACATTTCTTATGGAATGCCATCACATTCATTTTTTTTTGTTTTTCTTAGAACCTGATAATATTTTATCCTTCCCACGAATACTTGACTCAATTGAAGAATAATATGTGAAGAACATATAAAATCACTGGTAATGCTATTGCTATTGCTTCTGTTGTTAATATTACTATTGACATAGTCCAATTCAGCTAGCTTGCGGTGGTAATGCTGACGGTGTAACATGTTTCTCTCTTCTTCTTTCTCTTTCTGTTCACATACGCATGCATAGACAATAATGAAATCGAAAATAGTCGACCTCTCCGTGTCTTTACTTACTTTATCCTATGTACATTTTCTCTCTTATTCACACAAACCACAACAAAAACATTGAACTATATATATGAACAAATTGAATCAATATTCGAATTGCCTAATAATACTGTAAGGCTTATATCAACGTGTTGTTATTTTCTAGATTATTTAAAGACGAAATAAAATAAATGACCCTGAACATACTTCTCACATTTATTTCCTTTTATATTATTTGTTCTTCTACTTATGTATTTTATTTATTACTTTCTGCGCATTTTCGTCCTTTTCGTCCTCGAAAAGATGTACAACACATATATATATATATATATAAGTGTGTGTGTCTATATGTCGAATTTTGAGGCCATGAATAGATATGCTTACCTAGAAATACACATATGTATACTTTCTCTTTTGATAATGACGTCACAAAATGTTTACATAATTTGATCATCACTTTTCACGTAGTCGATACTCACAGTAATGATTTAACCTAATACATTACAATAATATCTTCTTTTGTGAATGTGTCTCATTTCTCTTAGGATTAAACTATAGTTTATGTATTCTCAATTCTTGTGAATAATATTATATGAATAAGAAGAAAAAGAAAAAGAAGAAGACGGTCAAAAAAACACCAAGACCAGCTGTTACGCCTATTTATCGCAAGTCGTAGACGGTAGAATGTCTGAAAAGTTATTAATGAAGACTAATATAGCAGTCGTTTTTCTGACCGATAGTCAATCGTGTCGAAAGAAAAATGCACATATAACCTAAAACAAAGAACTGTATGCATAAAAAAAACCGGCAAGTAAAGAGAAAATTTACTCTATAAAAGTTCAATGATGCAAGCAAGCGAGCATTACTTACCTTAAACTGTTCAGTAGAGTTTTGTTTTTTTTTGCTTTGTTATGATTACTTTTCTCCCTTTCTCTCTGCTTCTCTTTGTTATAATGAACGCGAGGGACATTGAAAATGAATACGAAGGATCCAGTTGCGTATGTGTGTATGTGTAATCAGTTGAAAAGACACGAGAAAGAAATAGAGAAAGAGAGAGAAAAAAAGTTGCACTAGTGCTATTATACTTCTACTACAACTACGACGACGACGACGGCCATCATCATAACAACGCATACGACCGTCACCGTTGTTAGAGAAGGGATAAAAAAATTTATACGGTGGTAGTCAGTCGTCAAAAATTGATCTCTCATCTGTCTCTAACACTAAATGTACACCACACCCATGAGATTAAACCTTTGTGTTCCGTTCTTTACTGGTTGTTCGTGTCGATAAAGCATCATAAACATGACAAGGGGTAAAAAAAAAAAAAGAAGAAAGACGAGCAATGACAATGATATATCTATGTACATCATGCAACTATTAGAATCTAATAGAAGACGGATTTTATTGACAACATACGAGATAGAAGGATACAGATGTATTGAGAGCTATTTTTGTTATTTTGAATCCCTAGGAAATTAGAATTAAGTAAAGTCTCTATAAATAACATGTGCATGCATATACACATTATGTTTTTTTTTAAAAAAAATAAAGGACACCAAAGACATGATAAAAATCATGAAGAAAATGTCAAACAAAAGATAAATCTACAAAATAAAAAAGAAATACGAAGATTAAAATAAAATAAAGAGTAAGATATCTAAAGGTTAAAATCAATTTCAAAAATAACATCAAAGTTTAGGATCATCAACATAATTAGTAATAACATCATAAAATTTTTGCGCAATTTCATCGATGTTTTTTGATATTATTCCACAAACATGTATGCTACCATTACTCATTATATATACGTGATGTTGCTGAATTAATGTTTGATACTGACCTGAATTCAGACCAGTATAAGCAAACATACCTTATAAAAGCAAGGAAAAAGTTCATTTAAAATTTCATTTATAAAATAAACGCACCTGTTTGCTGAATAATATGCTTTCATGTACTTGGTGTGCCTAATTGTTTTAATTTACTATAAAATAATTGTCTCATTGAATGTATACATTCATAGATAGTTCGTATATTAGTTTTCCATTCATTATATAAAGTTGGATTATTTAAAATTGTACCGATAATATACGCACCATATGCTGGTGGATTTGAATAGCTTCTTCGAATAATTGCTACCATTTGTGTACGAAATTTAGGCATTATATCACATGATTTAAACACATCAACTAATGGCCAATATGTTCATTATATAAACCGAAATTTTTAGCAAATGATTGAGCAATAAATAATTCATGTTTAGCTTCATGTACAAAATAACGTACTGCTCATGCGTCTGCATCAAGATCACCACTTGAAAAATCTTGATAAGCTATATCAAAAAATGAAATTAATTGACGAGATTTACATGTTTCTGATATACGTTTCTATTGTTGATGTGTAGGATCACAACCTGTAGGATTATGCTAATAGAAAAAAAAAGTAATTATTAAACAACTTTTATCTTTTTTTTATAACTATTTACAGAACAAACATGAAGTATAATAACAGATTTTTATGATGCAGATTCAAGATCAGCAATAAAACTATCAATATCAAGAGTAAATTTTTCTTTATTCCAATATCTATATTTTCTTATTTCAAATCCAACTGTTTGCAAAATAGATTCATGATTATCTAAAAACAAAAGTGATCATTCGAATTTTCTCTCCTTGTATAATATTTAATTCTTATCTCATGTAGGTATTGAAATATATGTTATACGAAAACCATTTCGATAAAGAAAATCTAAACCAATACGAAGTGTACTTGTACCACTTAATGATTGTATTGAAGAAGCACGATTTTCTATAATAGCCAATGATTGTTCACTAAGTATAAGTTTAAGACATGCTATACAAAAAGTATCAAGTCCAGTTCCTTTTCAATAATTTTTTTTCAAAGTTAAATCTTTAACCATCTGTCGTTCAACTGAGCGAACCAACGGTAATGCTAATGTTTCACCATTTTTATCTTGATAAACTTCAATACTTAAATTAACTTTCAATGGATTTGTATCTTGATTAAAAAGTTTTGTTAAATGACATACTTCAATTGGTAGATCTATTGATATATTACGAAATAAACTCATAATAATTCTTATTTTTTTCTGTAAAAAAATTAAGATAAAAAAAACTTATGTAGATATATATGAATAATTTTTTAACCTTTTTTTTCTTATTTTTCAAATAAACAAAAACTGTTCATGGAAGATAACAACACCTGTTATCATTGACGTTCATAGAGAAAAAAAGAACCGATGGCGAGACACTATTTAGATAATATTGTCATCTACAAAAAACAATGGGATGTTATTGTGTCAACAGAAGGATTTCTTTTCGAAACACAGTTGTATATAGACATTTGCATACACCTATATGAAAGCAAATATAAAAGAAAATAACAGCATACATTATAACCCAACTGTCAACAGGATTAAACGATAACACTATGATGACTAACTGACTGAATAGGTATTGTTGACTTTACTGACGCGTCACTGATCTTTGTTAAAGCATAAAATAATAATGATAAGAAACAGTTTTCATTCTTTAACTTTGTTCTCAAAGCAGAATATGTTGATTGAAATGTATTTTCTAGAGTACCTGAACATTTTTGGTTTCTATATAACCTAACAGTAATTTAGAGTCATTTGTTTCAACAGAGAAATTCTTAATCCGTGTGTTATCACAATCCGTGATGTCCTATTATATTTATCTCTTTTCTCATTTTAGTAATAGATAAAAATGTTTATCATGACTTATGAAATGTAGAGAATGAGTTTGGCTTTATTGTTATAAATTTCAGATTGTATATCAAACAAAATCCAATACGATATTAAACTAATGTTTAAAATCAATCAAAAACGAAAGTCAATACTATTATTTCGTAGTAGATTTATAGATAAGCCTGGAAAAAAAGTAGTTCGAGCCTTTTTTCAGTATACCATCAAGATAAAAACACATTTTTTTAAAGGGAGTTCGTCAATATATTAGACAATATGGCCAGAGAACATTTTTTGATTTTGGATCTAATTATCTGAAAACAAAGGCCTCATAGAGATACTACTATATCCGAAGTATCAGGTTGATCTGACAATCTCTTGTCAAATTACGAGGTACGCAATGGTGATAGGTTTTAAAGAGGTAGAAGACGCATATTTATTTTCTCGTACTTTTTAATATACTACAAAAAGACTTCATTATTTCGAGCATTAACATAGCGATGACTTTTGCCAAAAAGCAAGGAGAGCTTTTCTTCTGTCAGATTATGTTTTTTTCGTCCCTTCGTATACATCATTTAGTGAAACAACAGAGCCAATAAAATGTTTCTTTTTCATGAAAAAGTAAAGGATTTTTGCATTTTTTTTCAAGTTTTTCTACTAGTAAGATCTAAAATTGAAGACTCCCAGAAATCTCATTGCAATAGAAGAGAGCCCGTGAAAAACTGCGTCTTTTAACGTAAAAACATTCTGGAAAAAGACCAAAAGCTCATTCAAGGTTTTTTACTAAAGAGTACGACTATATATTTTAATACAAATATATGAGAGGTGCTCAAAGATAAAAGAGTGAAAACCATTTGAGACTATTTTAGCTCAATTAGAAAACAAATATCATTTGATGTGAAACTTGAAGTACTGATAGAGTGCAAAATTAGTAGTCATTTCTATAAATTTCACTTTGATCAATGATACTTTTCTTTTATTTTGGTACTCGACCAAATAGTCTTCCTTATGACCTTTAGAAAGATAAAATGACAGATGAGATTCGCTCATTTTTGGAATAATATTCATATAGTATGATAGATAATTTATATATTATTTGATAAAGAATTAAAATTCTGAACAAAAAGAATATATGAATGGTCTCGAATTAAAATGAAAATTTGATAATGAAAAGTTTAGTATACCTGCTACCTAGGATCCTCTGAAGACTACATCGTGTTATTGTTGGTTATCTATAATCTCTACTATTAGATTCAGAATTGAAACGATTTTTTGAGCATCAATAGCTTTCATGACGAGCTACGAAAATTGCTCAAATAGAAACCTATAAAAAATTTATCTTCTGCCTTTAACCTAAAACATGCTACTCATAATATTGTAAAGGTTGCTTACAACGAAGCTTGTGTATCCTTGATCTCTGTTGATATTTGAAGAAAAGATATGATTCTTTAAGTGTCTATATTACACATTGACAGTTACAGAAATGGTAGATCAGAGGTTTGAGAAAATGTATCTGTTGTCATAAGACAATGATATACCACTGAAACTGTAACAAAAAAAGCCTTTTTGGAAATGTCTTCTTCTGCTAAGTTTTCAACTAGTATGCATAGACATAAACATTTTTACTACATTGAGGACAAATCAAAAAGAGAAGAAAGATCGTATGATAAAATCCTTAGAATATATAGTATCAGTTCTGGTTTTTTAAGAGAACAGACAGCTTTTTACAGGTTTGAATTCTAGTATTGCCTGTTGTGGCTAAGAAATGATTGTGCTATGGTTTGAAGCAAACAAGAGTAAATAACTTGTATCGAATGTTGCCTGAGAACTGTAATTCATTTGATAAATTTTTCGTAATTTTTTTCTTTTTAATTTATAAATGTTTACACAGACATTTCATGGGCAATGTTGGGTTGATCAGACTATACAATACAATACACACACACACACATATATATATATATATTTGTATATATTATTTATATGCACACCACACATATATTATCTGTTTTTTCTTTCTTGCTTCTTTACTTGATTGACAGCGGAGAGAACCAGGTGGTAATACCAAACGAAACGATTAGTTATTTTCCGTTTTCATTCGTTCCACAGTCAATGATAGGGAATGCAAAAAAGAACAAATAAATAATGCGGTATATAAAAACTCTATAAGAGTTATCGCAGAAGTGCTGAGATGATTTAAAAAGTTTTTCATTTTCGCATTTATTAAAAGCGAATCTTTTTGAAACTTTGATGGGTTGTTGAGCATACATAATACTACATAGTCACAAAGTTTCGAATCTATATCTAAACCTATTGATGAGAAACTGCAAAAAACACTGCGATGTATTTTTTCAAAGTTCTCCGACAGCTAAAGTTGTTATTTCCAGGGTGTTTTAACTATCGTGTGCCAGAGTAGAAAATCTTTTTTTTATCGATATATTTTTGCTTCTACACGTGTCGATGAACGCAGTTTATCAGTAATAACATTAGTCTGTTACAACTGAATCAACACAGAATGTCACGTGAACAATCAGCGACAGATACAAAAGAATTTCGTTCATTTGTATTACATTTAAAACAAATACATCCATCATGAAAATCTAAAGAAATTAAAAATTTTCTTATTCAATCTGAAAATTCGCCATCTTATACAACGAAATGTGCTTTCAACGTCAAAGTTGGGAAAATTCTAAATGGAAATCAGGTGAATGATTTGCCAAGATCGGGTGCACCACGTACAACAACAACAACAACACTTGAAAATATTCAAGCTATGAAAAACAATCTTCGAATAGCCAAAAACGCATCCATCAGAAGTGTTAATACAAAACTTCAACAACAAGGTTTTAAAACATCGAAAGGTTCAATTTGGCGAACTAAACAATCATTAAAATTAAAATGGTGGAAAAGAGAAATAGTACAAAAATTAACAACCGATCAAAAACTTCCATGTGTTATCATTGCAAAACGATTACGAAAAAAAAATGGTTTTAAGAAAGGAAACAAGCTTTATGACTGGGCTTATGTTTTGAATACAGACTTTAGTGGTATATTTACTTTAAGTCTTCAATCCAATTAACACAACGAAGGTATTTATGCTAAATCCAAATCTGATATTCCATACGAATTGAAAACGAAACCAAAAGAAAACTTTCAGAAAAGTGTCATGCTATGGGAACGTATTTCCTATCAAGGATTATTTCCTAAACAATCTTCAATTTTTTGTTGATGAGTGGTTAGAACTCATCAGATCAAAAGGTAGTGATCATCGGAAAAACTTGTACGTTACTGGTGAAAGATATGCACAATTTATTCGAACTATTATAGCAGAAAAAGCGAAAGAAAAATTAGGTGATTTACGTTATATTATCTTCGAAGATGATCAAGATAGTCAACAACGACCCACGTGAAGTTAGCCTCATATTCGAGTAAAACCAGCCGATATTCGTCTAGGAAGTTCTTTTAGATGTTCCAGCGAGTTGCAAAGTAAAACTTGATGAGCTCTATCGATTGGTAACCTTGGATTTTCCATATCTCATACCGTTCGTGAAAAAATCCCAAAAGACTCATTTTTTACTATGTGAATCTTGCTACATGGTTAGTAAAATCAGCCGATATTCGTCTAGGAAGTTCTTCGAGCTGTTCCAACACGTTTCCAAATGTAACCTGACGAGCTCTATAAATTGGTAATCTTGGTGTTGCCATAACTCAAAGCATGTGTAAGGAGAAAAAATAATGTTGGCTTTTGTCTATTGCATCTTTTGAACTTTTCCGATAAAAGTCGACAAGTTTCCTCTAGAAATGTATTCTAAATTTTTAGACTCACGTCAAGTACAGTTTGATGAGCTCTATATAATGGTATGATTATATTTTTCGTAGCTGTTACCGTCTCAGTACAATCAATATATATGGACTTAATAGATTCTAACTCATGAGGTAGATTCTGCCACTTTGTATGAGTAAGGTCATTCGTCCCATAACTTCCACTAACAAATTTGATTTGGCTCAGCCTGGTAATAAGGAATCGCTCAGAAGTATTTTTCTGCACAAATAGTAGCTGATAAAACGTTGTGATGGTGTGAGTGTAGACGTGGGTGAGGGTGTGGATGTGGATGAGGGTGTGGGTGTGACTGAAGGGAAGACGATCACTCACACTCACACCCACCTGGAACACTTTCCTGTACGAATATCGGCTGATATTACGAACCATGTGGCAAGATTCACATAGTGAAAAATGAGTATTTTGGGATTTTTTCACAAATGGTATGAGATATAGAAAATCCAAGATTACCAATCGATAGAGCTCGTCAAGTTCTACTTTGGAACGCTCTGGAACAGCTTCCTGGACGAATATCGGCTGATTTTATTCGAATATGAGACTAACTTCACCTGCGTATTTCCGTCCTTGTTTTTTCGTTTTACAAAATTCTGCTCATCAGAAGTGATACGAATTATGAAAAACCTTTTATGGTAAAACAACTATGTCGATTTCAAGTACGAGTAATATATTAAACCTTATTAATTGGTTAAATTATGTGTATCTTTTGTACATATGAAGTGTTTTATAGTATATCGGCTATTTGAATTAGTGTGCGTATTGGATAGACAGAGAATGTGTTAAAAATAAATCATCGTCGCTAGTGGGATGAGCAATGAACAGTTTATCAAACTCTTGAACTTTGATTAAGAAGTGAATTCATGGAATGCATACAAATTTCTGAAAAAAAACAATTCTATGAGCTGCGTACCATTTCTTCGAGAAGGTTTTTTTTCGGTTCTAACCTTGCAGTGAAGCAGCATGTAGTCAAAAATAGTCTTTGTAGGAAAAGAAAAAAAAACTTCATACCAAAATTTGAAGATCCAGTTTATTTTTCAGGAACAACGCGGTTTTTATCATTATTAAACTTATTGTAGCTACTGCAAGTTTGGCAGTAATACGAAAAAAATTGAATCATTTTTTCTTCCGCATAAAAACTACTTTCGACTATGTGCTACTTCACTGAATGATCAAAATTAAAAAAACTTTCATCCAGAAATATGTAACCTTTCCTATGAGTTTAATTTAATAAAAAAAGTCAAGATCAAAACGCATCAGGTTATGCATATTGATCATTACTTGGTTCAAATATCTTCGAATATCTTTTGTTTGCTCATTTCACTCAATAAGCCATTCTTGGTTACGCCACTAATTTGAACAAATCTATTTTGATTTTGTGAAACTTAAATATGAATCTGAATGGAATGAACTATGTAAATGTATTCATTCTAACTATTGATATTCACGGTTGACTTTACAAGAAACTAATAAAAGTTTCTATAGATTATTGTTTTTTATCAATTTAAAGCAATTTTATCCAGTCGTATCACAACAATAATTGAACAAATAAGGAATATGAATATATGAAAAATAAGGTTGAAAACATTATCGAATTAACTTCAACTATAATTACATCAAAGTTGCTTATTAATACACTCGTCGATATAATTATAATAAGAATGTTTATTTACGCTTACTCATAATATCCAAACAATCTATATGTATTGAAGACTATATCGAATAAGATATTAACTAAAAATGAATCTTTTGATAAATTATTTATTTTCTCGAACATACAAATATAGACTTTATAGAACAAATTTATTAATTAGAATAAGGTGAAAAGAATGTTGATATATTTTATTCGTAAAGAGAAAAACAACATGTCATATGCTAGATTTTAAATCAAAACACTTTTCCAATATTAATTTTTTTTTCAATAGATTTAAACAAAAAACTCTTCTTCTTGATGAGAAAATTTCCAATGCATTGCTTTTCATATGCATAATTGTTTCTGCTGAGGAAAATTTATAACATTGAGAAGGTAATCCCAATCAACGGAAGCAAACTTTTATTCTGTCATTTCTTTAACATTGTTCTGCTCACATCGACGAATGCGTAACTTCAAATTCTCAAAAGTCTGTATATTAAGAATGAATCTTTTTCAACCGAGTGAGTAGGCAAACATCTTTTTCGTGTGATTGCAAACCTTTAAAATGGAAAATTACAAGGCCTCTAAAAGAATAACATATTTGATATTATGCCAAAAAAGGTCGATATGCCTTTTTTCTTATCTCCCAAATATGATTTTATTCTGATAGAAAAAAGTGCGTAAGTGATGTTTTGTTTTTGATAGCATCATCTACTTGCAATTTTTCAAGAGGAAATGCAATTATTCACTATATATGAAAGTTTCAATCGTTTAATATTCATCATTAACGTTCAAATTCTCTTTAACTGAAAAAGAAAGAGTCTGTCAAAACTAATCAAATCAAAGTTTTCAATCAAATTTTTTATTTAAACATTAACAAATTATTTAACAGATATATCTAGATTGAAAAAATAGCCGAACTTTTGCTTTGCAATTTATGAAATAATAAGAAACAATTTGAATAAACAAAATAAGATTCAAGGATACTGGTAGTAATTATCATCAGACCAGCTGTATATTCAATTTTCAATTGCTTCCTATTGGTGGTTATTATATACAAAGTAAAATAAAACAGATGTCGCGAATAAAAATTTTCTATGATTTATTGTAGAAAATATTAAATGTAATTAATATTAATGCATTTTTCCATGCTTGCTTGAAAATTTTATTAACATTTTTCGAATCATATCTACAAGAAAAGTAATATTTAGAGGATATTTTTAGTAGAGAAATAAATGCTTTCAGGTCTTTATGTTCGTAACATCTATAGGTCAGGAGTACTTCTCATGTCGTTCGATCTGAGTACATTTTGCTCGTTTTGATTAATAAAACATTTTTTTTGCATGTTATCATTCTGTGTATAAATAGTCAGAGATAAATCGTATATTTAACTTTATTTCTATAATATAACAAACCTTTATTCTTTAATATTTAATTCAAACAAAAACTTTTTTCTTCTCTATTTAGTTTACGACTGAAAATGTCATTTTTCTCAGTCATTTCTTTTTCTGTGTCATCGACAATTTGTCATGTATTTTTGTATTCTGTTTTTTTCTTTTTGAATTTAGTGGAATTTATTTGAGAAAAGATTTTGTTCTTTCTATTCCATACATATTGATCGACGACTGTAGTGTTATAATTATATTTTCGGTTTGGAAACAAATTAAAAATAATGGATAAAAATTTGTAACAATCAAAAACAATTTTGTTGTAAGTCTGCACTTGTTTCTAAGATAAGTATGGAAACATAGACGTTAATATTGAAAAAGATAAACATAAATTTTTCTTAAGTTAATATTTAAATAATAGACTAATTTTTCCTATTGCAGACATATCTTTAAAAGCGCTTTTAGTTTTTAGTTTTGTAAAAAATTTGTGTAAATAACCTAGAGAAAAAGAAACATTCGCTGAACGATGAAATTTATTTACTTACCAAACAATGCCAATTAAATTAACAACGATGAAAATCAACTAATGTAATGTTATAGGTACTTGTTTTTAAAGATTTGTGTTTTTTTTTCTTGTTTATTTTCTATATTCAACATTCTTACTCTTTGGTCTTCGTATGACATACTCTTTTATTAGAATTAATTTATTAAAATTATATATGGAATAAAAGTTTCTCAAGTACTATAAACTTTAAATAATAAAATTATTTTGATATACATTATTGATTGCCAGATAGTCAAATTATCATATATATTCTATGTTGTATGACCTTCCTTCTATAAATGAGTACCTAATTTGATGTTAAAAAATTCTTTTTCTTTCATATTTATATACATTCGACTTATTCAGTTTTTCATGAATGGTATCGACATTAGTCACTGTTTTTACGTTGAAAATATCCATTTCTCGTATTTTTATCTTTTTATTACTTCACTCAATATACAAAGATTATTAACATATTGTTTTTTTTTGTCTTTCTATTTGTTTTGATAATATTTACATTATAGAATAAGAAAATATTATTGATAGAAAATTGAATATACAGAGAATTCGATTCAGCGGATTAAAATAAATATAGAGAAATAATCTGTACATCAATATAAGTTGAAAATATCTTTTAAAAAATGGCAAAAAAACCAGTAATACCGATTCAAAGATGTATGTGATATCAATATGTTTAATGTGATTATATAGTTTTATTTAATAGATTCAACAGGTGATCAATGTCTTATTGCCCTTCTTTCTGAACCAGTAAAATCATATAAAATAAAGGTATGATTAGAATAAGAATTCTCAATAATCTATTTTAATATATTTTTATTTAATAGGAAACAAGTATGAAAAAAATTAAAAAAAGTGAAGAATTGCTTCGATCTATTATCTATAATGAACTAATATTTAATGCTCCAATATCTTCATCATCATCGACAGCATGAACTGATATTAGAAGTCTGTTATTTTCAACGTTTTAAAAATTCATTTTGTTTTGTATTTGAAAAATATTTTATTCACTCGTTATGATGCAAATGAAATGATCAAATGTAGATGATATTTGTTGCTATTGTATTTGGCCATTGATTTGTATATCAAATCAGTTTTGTTTTAACAAATATGAAAAATTGTTTTTCGCTGTTTTCTTGAATAAGATATATGTTGATTAAAAAAAGAAAGAAAGATAAGAACATCATTTTACATTTCAATCCAAATTCGATAGAGATTAAAGACAAAAATATTTATTTGATAAACAAAGTTTTGTATTCGTTCTATGATGTTTTAACTTGCGTAATTCAAATTAGATAGATTCAGCAGCTATGAATCTTTTAGTAGAAATGCAAACAAATAATTGTTTCAGCATTTAGTTGTTCTCTACTATTTTGTTTCTATAACAACCAAGGATTCGAAGTATTTTTTCGTATAAGCTATCTGGATTCATTGTTCTATTATTTAAAATAATCATTGTTGTTAGATTCTCGTCATATGATTTTTGTCAAACAGTTATGTTCAGTAGAAATTCACTTTTCTGCTTGAGATAACCATTTATTCCAGCCATTTTATGGCTGATTGTCCATATGAGGCTATTCTTAGCATTGTATATTCCATTGAAAAGACAGATCTTTTCATGAAAAGAAGGTAAATTATATGTGATTCAGATGTTGAAAATTTCTTTTTTTTCGTTTGTCTTCTCCTACTTTTATATTTATTTTTTAATTCTTATCATTTTTTTTTGAATTTATCTAAAACGACTTTCAGGTTAAGTCGCATGTGAGTTCATTGATGTTTTGATTTAAAACAAAGTATCTCAATTGAGAAATGAAAAAAACTGCAAATATACGTATTTTATTTTTTTCTATGAGACCATTGATTAGTGCTATTTCTCATTATTGTAATATATTCTATGATATAAAAAGCTTTTTTTCTTTTATAGAATCTCTAAAAAAATTATAATGTCAAATACAATGGAAACGTTTTGATGACAAAGAAGGGCTATTTCAGAGCATTTATTTTACGCTGTGGGTTATCAAGATTTTTTAATGGATGTAATCATGAAAAGGAACTTTCAATAATAGCTTGTCAAAATGCATATAGAAAAAATTCTAAAGCACAAATCTGATAGAAGAAACTAGAAGACAGTTGTGACTATTGAATATACAGATTCGCTAATTAAATATTTCATTTCTTTTCTTATTCCACATGGTAAAAAAAAATAATTATTCGTATTTTGAAATAAATCATATTATCGTAAAAAATAATCTTTATAAAAATTTGTTCTTTGGATTTTATATAAAAAATTTTCCCTGCGTAATAAACTGATTTGTGATGCATCCTTTCTTTCTTTATATGTTCTATATAACTCGAAGAGTGTCACGTTATATATAAAATATGAAGTAGTCCGTTATAAACAAAAGACTATTTATTATAGTATCTTTGAAAATAATAATAATAAATAATCGATAGATAAAGAAATTACGAACATAAACTAATGATGCTCTTTGAATAATAATTATTTTGAGTTTACTTATTGAAAGATGATATTTTATCAAATAATGGTCACATTTCAAGTTATTCAATGCCTTTGATTTGTCAAGGTTAAAAGCATATTTACGTGTAGATAATTAATAAACAATGTCTAAACTTTTGGTACGACTAGATGAACAAATATTATTATGAAAAAGTTCTTATAATAGACAAAAAAGTAATGAAATTGATAAAAAAAGGATATACAAATACACAGCTGTATCTTGACTATATTGAAATGTTACTCTCTTATCTTTGAATACTCTATTATTCGATATCTATTATACTAAATAACACTACTAATATAAAACATCCGTTACACATGTTTTTTGACATTTAGAACAGCTTTTTTTTGTCATTAGTAACTCCTAGGTCATTTATTATTCTATTTTATTCTATCTACTGTTGAATGTCACACTAGAAACATTTAAGAAATGCATGTGAAGATATATCTGCTAGATTATCGGCATATACATGTGAATATTCATCAATGAAATATATGATCTTGCAAGTATATACATATAAAAAAGCTAAATTACACTATATCTAGATATGAATACAGTTTGTTTCAAAAGTCGCATACGAATGGTTCTTGTACAGTTTGAAAAATTTGCATGTTTTTTTTAAAGAATTTAGTATCTTACTCTTTAAAATTTTATTCAATATACTTCCTATAGATATCTGTGCTTATCAATGTCATAATTACAATAATTTCTAGTGACGATCGACGTTCAGTTCTTTATTAGTATAAAACAAAAAATGTAGATCAAATGTAATAGAAATAAACGAAATAATGATGTATGTAATGCATTAAAGTTACATTTTAAGACTTTTGTGGAATTGTTTGGTCAACTTTTGAAAGATCTAAAAATAATCACTAAACAAAAATTCGATGAAATTCATAATTTTTAAAACATGTTCGTAAATGAAATATTCAACATGGTTCATAAGCTTTGTAAAAATTTTCAACTAACTATCATGAATTCATGACAGAAGATGTCTTTTTTAAAACTATTGACGGTAAAATTCGCTTAATAGCTCTACTAAAGAAATGTTTCAAAATCATGATAAAATGTGTATAACTTTAATACACATATTGATGAATAAGAATGTCAAAGAGAATACTTCTTTTAAAACTAAATGACTTTCAATTTAATCTAACAGTCAGTAAATCAAACGTTAAAAACACTATTCAGAAGATATTCATTAAAAAGTTCATTGAAATAAAAAATGAAAGATTGACTTTTGCATCTATAAATTCAGTCTAATTACAGATGCAAACCAACATTAACTAGATTTTTTGTTAATTAGATTCATCAACGTTGATGGAATACGATTCTTACTTGAAATCCCAATATAAACATAAGATTTTCTACAAAACAACGATATATACGTCAAAACATTGCTGGTGTCGACAAGCTCCCGGTTCATAGTTCAAATCATATCACAAAGTCTGTTCAAACAGTTTCTATCATAGGAATTAATCTATTCCAACAGTTCAGTTCCTAGAACTGAGCTATTTGGATTTTTTTTTGTTTTATGAACGGCATTTCAGTAAGAGAACAAAACCTTTTTATATCCGGAAGTGTCGTTCTCAAAACAGTGCAACAGCTTTTGTACCTAGATGTATCGTTCCCAAAACTGAATGAAGATTTTTATATCAGGAAGTGTTTTTCTGAAAAATAGAACAAAAATTGTTCTGACTTATCAGTTTCAAGTACTAAACTGCTGAAACAGATCAGTTCCTATGAAAAGAATTGTTTAAACAATTCTTATAATCTGAACTGAACTTGTCGACTTCTAAACGTCGCATGAAATATACGTCTACATTCCTTCGAATTATGACGTGTATAAAAGAGTGCTTGCAGTAAGAATAAAATTTTTTTTAGATACAGATAATACTCGATTTCAACGTTTGTCCGTTCTTTAAATTCATTCGCATATCTATTATCTAGGTATCAATGTTATCGCTACGACGCACGGTCACGACCAGTTATGACAAACTTTTAATTTAATTAATTATGTCACAACTTTTATCAATTTCATGCAAATTACATAACTTATTATGAATGTGTCACTTACCAGTTGGACTTTTTTTTACTATCCTTCTTTTTTCACTTTACTAATAATCTTCTTATGAGGGAACATTCCCAACTGTCAAATTGCTTTTTGATCGAGTATATACTCAAACAATAGATCTTAGTGACCTATTAAATGTCCTACAAGAGTTTGGTTTTTTAGGTCTCTTGAGGAGAGATATGCAATTAGCACTACTGCTAGTTTTTCTGTACTAGTATACTAATATATTCCATATCTTGACTAAACATGCTCTGATCCAACTCAAATTTATATCAGTAGTAAGGCACTTAGTACTGATTAAGATTCCAGAGTTTGAAGATAAATCATTGTTTCTTATCGAAGATATGAATCTGTTTGGTATACTGAATGATTATTTTTTTAAAAAGCATGTGCTCTTGCTTAAAGATGGAAGTATTGATTCATTTGATATTTTCAGGACACATTTATTTCATAGTTAGCATGCATGTGGAAATGTTAGCTTATTTGTCGGTGCTTTAGTAATAAAAATTGGAATCATGAATTCATACACTTTTCATCATGTGATCTATTTTCAGTCATATATTTATAAATCAGAAAACAATCAACAAAAATATAGAAAATTGAGTGAATCATTTAATCAGTGGAAGTGAGAGTTGTTGAAAAAATGGTCAGTACATAATATATAGTCACGATAAACTGTACCCAATGAACAAACAAGAGGAACAATCATACTCATGAGATTTGTAATAGTAGTAGAAATTAATTATCGTGACTAAATATATGTCGGATTTCACTCTAAAATTCAGTTGCATTTAAAAGGCAACTAGTTCACTTTAAAATTTAAGAGTCAACTAGTTGTCTTTAAAATTGAAAAGTCAACTAGGATGGAGCTAGTTGACTGTACAATTTAAGAATGAACTAGGATGGAACGAGTTGACTTTAAAATGTATAATCATAAAGTTGTTATTGATATGATAAATAACATTTTATTCAATAGATGAGGTTGAGACAAAGAAATGAACATTGCAGAAAAGCATAACTATAGTAGACAAGAAAATCTAGGATCCATTATCAATAGATCCAAACAAAGACCTAGGAATTTTTACATCTTGAATTTCTATCGCTGCGACATTTTGGACAACATTTTCGATTATTTTTCTTACAATAACACCGATTTGTATTACAATTATCAGAACATTTACAAATTTCTATTGATTTAAAATTTGTATAAATTTGACTTGCTTAAATAAAAGTAATTGTTGGTAGTTGATCAGTATCAATACCGCGTAGTGATGCAAAATTGGCTGTAGTAAGATCTAAACATGCCATTTGATCAAAACTTTCTTTGATGATATCATTTTGAGTAGCAACTGTGTACAGCATTTCATTATTTTGAGAATATTTGTCAATTATTCTACATGGTAAAATCATGGATGAAGCACTTGTACGATCGACATCTGAAACCTTTCAACCAACAATATCACCAATAACATACGTTCGTTGTCGTTTAGCTGAATTCATTTTATATTTAACTAATTGTGATTGTGCATTTCTAAGGTATGATTGTTCAGCTTCTTCTCGAACTCGTCGATGGCGATCATTAGATTTCACATTAATATTTGAACTACCATCATCAACTGTCAATTCAGTTTCATCAATACATTCTTCATAATCAATAATAGTTTCTTGCTGTACATCATCACTAACATGATCTACCTTTTTGATGTTCAGCGTTTGTCATTTTTTCATTTGTCTTCAATCGATCATTATCATTATCACCTTGAGCAGAAATTAATTCGAAATCAACATAATCTGTTTCTTTAACTATGTTTGCAATCTCATCAGGTAAATCTTCTTCTAAAATAATTTTATTTATATCACTTTGTTGTTGATGATTAAAAATAGATTTCCACATGTCATCATCTATACGTGAATGTTGTCCAAAAACAACTTCAAAAGGTGTCTTGTTAATAATTTTTGCTATGCTAGTGTTAATAGCTAGCACCACCAGGCCAAGTCCAGAGGGCCAATCAGACGAATTGTTCGTACTTAGCCACTTACCAAGAAGTTGTTGAACGACAGAGTTACCCCTTTCTACCAACCGCTAGGACTGAGGGTGTCTTGGTCGCCCATTGATTATCACTAAACCTGGCCAAGTTTTTGTTAAATCTGTGATCACCTTTGGTACAAACTCTCGACCATTGTCGGACTGAAGTATCTTCGGTGGACCAAATTGATAAAAGATTGATCGTAATATATTTGCTACATCAATAGCTTCTTTGGATGCCATTGGAAATAACCACGAATATTTAGAAAAATGATCTTTTGCATGAAATATCCACTTAAAACCGTTAAATTCATTACTCCTCATATCAATTAAATCCATCTGTATTCTAGTCATAAAACCTACAGATGCTATTGGTTTCCCAACAACTGGTTTAGGAAAAGTTTTTCGTGATGCACATTGATCACATAAACTAATAAACAGCTTGATTAATTCAAGTGGTATCTGAGCATATTGGCGTTTAACCTAAATTGCGAAAACACGTTTAAAAACACGAAACAACCTGCCGGTAGCTTACTTCCTGCCAGGTTTTATCTCTTCCAAGGTGTCCGACAGATAAATGACATTCATGAAGAGTTTCAAATAGATTCTCATATTTTACTATTAGTAATTTTTATTTTGCTGAATACACCACGGATTGATCATTAGTTTTAACAATAGTAAAACATTTTTTTGCCCAAAAATTAAATTGAGGATCGTACTTTGTTTCAGTTGAGAGCATTTCGACGAATTTTTCATATGTTTCAGCTATTATTAAATACTTCGCTTGTCGTTTAGCATCCAACTCATTTAAATAAGCATCTAACTTTGAGTAGAAAGCCGCCTTCATTATTAAATGTGATGATGGTTCAACAATTAATAAATACTGCTTTGTTAAATTCAGATCGAAAAGTTTCCATCAGTTAAAAAACCATTTATTATCAATTAGTGCATAACAACTTTATAATTATACATTTTAAAGTCAACTAGTTGCCTTTTAAAGGCAACTAAATTTTAGAGTCAACTCCGACATGTATACATTCATTGCGAACATATGCTCATCCAGACACTTCTTTACTTTACATATCATTCTCTTTTCAACTTATATCTGGACACAATTAATACTCTTTGCCGATTTCGATCATCGACGATTCTATGCAAAGAACGCATTCAAACAAAAAAAGATTTAATTTAGATCAGTGAAATACATATGCAAGATATCGACATCTTTGGAAAATTAAGTTTAGTATATCAGTACTGTATGTTCAATCATAAAAGTACACGAATTCATGATTCCAATTTTTATTACTAAAACACCGACAAATAAGCTAACATTTCCACATGCATGCTAACTATGAAATGAATGTGTCTTGAAAATATCAAACGAATCAATACTTGCATCTTTAAGCAAGAACACATGCTTTTTTTAAGAATAATCATTTAGTATACCAAACAGATTCATATCTTCGATAAGAAACAATGATTTATCTTCAAACTCTGGAATCTTAATCAGTACTAAGTGCCTTACTACTGATATAAATTTGAGTTGAATCAGAGCACGTTTAGTCAAGATATGGAATATATTAGTATACTAGTACAGAAAAACTAGTAGTAGTACTAATTGCATATCTCTCCTCAAGAGACCTAAAAAACCAAACTCTTGTAGGATATTTAATAGCTCACTGAGGTTTATTGTTTGAGTATATACTCGATCAAAAAGCGATTTGATAGTTAGAGATATTTCCTCGTTAGCAACATTTTTTCTATTGCTTCATTTAATTGGTATGACAACTTAACTCACATTCTTCTTCTGAAACTCTATTATTGTTAAATCAGATGCAATAATAGTAAATAATTTCAGTAGAGTACGAGCAATGGCAAGAACACAACGCAAGAAATTTCTAAAACGTGCTTTTTTAGCAGTCTCAAGCAATCTACTATTCAGAGCAGAGAATTCAGCGAATGCATTTATGATTTCATCTTTCACTTTGCGAGAAATATGATTCAATTTCGTGTTCATTAAATTAAACTTTTTTGGTTATTTTACTTTAATTTTGTTCATCAAATAAAGAAGAACTTTAATTGTATGAATAAATGTGTTTGTTTCATATCGACAGTATCGATAGCCACTTTGTAACAGATCATACTAATACAATCAATAGAATTTTCGTCAGACAGAGTCACGACCATGACCAAAACATAGTATTCACGCCGATCTTTCTACTATTGGCACAACATTGGTAAAAAATATGATTTTAATAAAAAATGTTTGTATCTAACGAAAATTGTTGCCCATTCACATTTATCTTCTATTGATGAATTCTTCTTCGTTCAATCTTGGAAATAAATTTTCTTGCGTGTACTTTTTTGTAAAGTGCACCTCTATTTTTTCATTATATAATCAGATATCTGAGTTTTCCATTGACAAAAAATGATAATTCTTTGATTTTTTAAATTTTACAATTATCTCGAACATCTCAATAGCCAATTTACTTAACTGCGTCATATTAGATCTAAATTAATTTACGACAAAGAAAACAAAAACAATTCTCTAATCATTATTCTAATTGGATAAAGCTTCAAATCCATGTTGAATTTTTTTCAATATTTTGTCAATAAAGATTGAAATGAAATACAAGTAATCAAATCTTTCTTTGAACAACACCAAATGACGTATGGCGTAGATTAAATAATACAAAATTATTTTCTTTTTTTTTCTGGATCACTTTGGTACATTTTGCGAAAGTCATTCTATAATCATTCGATAGAGGTTTGTTCACTCAACAAAACTGCAGAGATTATTTTTTAAATAAGTTTTTCTTGCTGGAGCAAAATTTAAAATATGAACACCTTCTCAATTATCTAACTGTGATTTTCGATTTTCTGCAGATATTTATCCATTGGTGTAAGTCTTTGCTTATTAAGACTAGTCCAAAAGAGTAATGTAGTTCGCATCAATGAAGAGAGACAATCTTGTGCTCTCTGTTTTCATAACCTTTCCAAGATTCCTCGTGTTATCTTTCACGGAAAAAAGGCTTGTAACTAACATATAGTGGTATTTTTATACGTATTTCGGAAAGAAACATGTTTTCCAAAATGAGACCTACTGTGTGAAACAGTCGATCTCACGCTGTCGGATGTGGAATTTAATTGGGAACACAATGTTGTGACTGCTAAGTTAAAGGGCAAAAACGATTAGGTTGAATCGGATGGAAAAAGAAAAATCACATAATCCTGTTAGACAAGAGTTTTATTTTCCTAGTTTTTACTGCAAGATTTTGCTCGCAAAAATTTGTTTGAAAATTCTAAAACATATATCAGTGTCCGACATGGGTCAAACTTTTGTGATCCGAGTCGAACTCTAGTGTCGATCACTTGTCACTTTTTCTTGAGAAAATCAATTTCTCAATCTTATTTTTTTCCTTTCATTGTGTAATTAGAAACAAAGGATATGTCCTTGAACTCTTTTCGTCCTTGATACTTAGTCGATATCCCGTAGTTGTTAAAGCATGACTGTGTGATAGAATTTTTTCTTGTTTATCTTTTTTTTATGCATACAACCTGCGACTTGTATAGCACCATTGAATACATAGTGCACTCGCTATGTATCGTTGTACGATGTCAATAAAGAAAAGTCGGTGAAGTAGAAGCAAAGATCGTGCAATGCATAACTTCTTGTTCTAATAAGCTTTTCTACGTTCTCTTATAGTACTTTTAAATGAAAGAAAACATTCAAAATGCCTTTTGTATCTGCAAAATGTTCAGACTGCAGATCCACTCCGAAATTCAAATATTTTTTCGTAACTCGAACCGATCCGAATCGAACACTGACATATATTAAAAGATACAGAATTTTGTGACACGTTTGAAACTCTAGCAACTCGTTGTTAAAAAATTCTGCATAATTTTTTCTTTGTTTTTCGATCATCGTAGTTAGATTGACTAAATGTTAATATTTTAAATTGTGTTCGAACAAGAAAATTTGATTTGAAAGACAAATGCAACAGTTTTGTAGAGCAAACAATTCTCTAGCGAATGATTAATAGAATGACTTTCTGAGAGTATATCTAAGTGATCCAAAAAGAGATTATGACATTGTCCAATCTAATTTGCACCATCCCTTAGCGAGAAGTAAATGCTGAAAGAACAAATATAGAGACATCAGACGCAATTCTTAGACCTAGATGTTGGCGTTTCAAGGAAACAATTAAGTCAATGTCATGTTAATCAGTACAATGCAGATGTTTATATTACTTCCGCCAATGCATTCATTGCCTTTATATTGAAAAAGAAATTCAAATGAGCGCAATGCTACTACTCAATAAAAAAAGAACTATCTAAATTAAATTCTTCTTATAATTGAAATTAATTAATTTATTTGTTAGGTTTTCTCAAACTCCTTCATTAAAACAAAATCATATGATGTTTTGTTGTCAAAAAAAAACTAGCTTTGTTTACAACGATTTTATTCTATTAACTATTAAAAGTAAAAATTTTGCCGTAGTTTTTATATTGGCGATGATTAGAGATGTGTGGAACGAACTTTTTTTAGTTCCCATCTAGAGAAAACTATTTCAGACTTTATTCACATCACATCTAAAAATATTCTTCAATACTCGTTTTTATTTATTCGTTTGTTCGATGACTAGCACTTGTTTGAATCATCTCTCCTGAATTATGTTCTGATTGGTATAATTTATAAGATAATTTGCTTAAAACTATAGAATATTTAACAATAATCTTTATTTCCGGTTGACACAATTTTTTTCTCGTGTTTCTGAAAAGCCTTCAAATTTTGATCTCCTACATGTCTAGTGATGATATTCATAGTAAAAATAACAAAGACCATCACATCAATGAAAATTTATTTGTTTCTCTTTGTTTAAAAAGTGAATTATTATTCGAAATCAATTTAGTTCCGACACTCAAACTCAATCATTTAAAAATATTTTTAACAGTTCACTAATATTCTCTCAACATTCAGAATTTATCTGTTGAAAAATTTCGAAAAATTTAATAGACAAGACATATATTCGTCAAATGGAAATATATTCATTTCTTCATATAAACAAACGAAAATAGCTTATCTCTATACAACGTGACATAATATCATGTAAAAGTTGTTTCGTTTTTGTCAAGGTATTTAATAATATCGAATTCTTGTATATTTTATTTTGTCGGTTAGAATTTCGAAAGCAATTTCTTTATCGAATATATCAAATTAAACCATTGAAATTAGAGATGGG